AAAACTTTCAGCTACATTCCCCCTTAATTTACAAAATTTCATCTTGCACCATTTCCCCCAAGGGGCTTTTGGAACTCAAATACAAGCAGGAAATATAGGCCAGTCTGGTCACTTTTGCAAATCCCAGATGAAACTGAAATTCAAATGTCATGTGATGAACAGTGCTGACTCTCCTCTGCTGGCTGTTTTAGGAGACTGAGGTTTGGACACACGGTCTTCCTGATGAAGCCAGGTGCAGATGCTCTAAAGCTAGATTCACTTCTCAGGACTGCAGGCCAAGCTGGTTCCACCCCAGAGAACGTACAGAAGCCCAGCCTGTGATCTTTAACCTGTGCAAGCGTGCAAGAATGGATTTTTTGCCGGGGAAAGGTTTCAGGTAGACCCCACCTCGGCCCACTGGGCACTTCCTGCTGTTCAAACCAGAAGTCTTGAGCAGTAGCCACAGCTCAGTAGTGGTGTTTGCCTGAGAGATCGGGGCCCAGGGTTTCATCCTCAGTGCCATGAAAACACAGAAGTAAATCTTACCTCAAATCTGAGAATACTTTAAAATCAAAATGCAGGACCCCACACACACAGAGAGAGAAGGTGCTATATCAATGAAACTGTTAACTTGGGGAAGGCACAGAGCTCAGGCAATGTTCGTGGGGTTCAAGTCCTTTTCTGCCACAAACTTAAATTTTCAGGAGGCCCAGCAGCTTCCCATAGTGAAGAACCAAGCCCAGCACAGCTGACCAGGGAGGGGATTTGTCCTGGGCCCTAAAAGCCTACTGGGAAATTGTTCATCCTACAGGAAGCAGAAGTCAAGACACAGGCCTGTAGCCAACGCAGAAGCACAGAGAGACTGGGGGAATACAGGGTCAGAACATAGTCACACACAAAGGTAAAATCAGAGAAATAATCATGTCTGAGCAATGGACTCCACTGTGGCACAGGCAAGCTTTTCTTTTCTTTGCTATCCACCTCCATCCCCCATGCTGTCCAAACTCCTCTGAAATACACATTCCAGACAGTCTGCTTACTTACATATTAACAGAAATTTGCATTTTGGTAAGATTCTAACTACTGTGAAAGTTTTCTCAGGGCTCAAATAGTTGGATCTCCATACAGGTTGCAGAAAACAAAGTAGGTAATGAACATAAGAACATTCTAGAAGGTATAATGCAACACACGGGAACCTGTGCTGGGAATTAAGTTTCTGACCCTTATGGCCTCTTTTTTGGGACGTGATTTCCACATCTTTGTGCTAGGTGTTGGCTGCACACACTTGAAAGTGAGGCTGGCCTGAAACCAAGCTGTGTGCTCGTGAACGAGGCAGCTTTGAGCCTCGTTTTCCTGTCTGTAAAGTGGGACCGTGGAGCTGCAGTGTCTGGAGGCGTGCCTAGGAAGCTCTCTGCTGCTACATTGCTCTCCATGCTTATGCTGCTCTCCTTCACACTCTCCGCCCCCACTTCCTAACAGAAATTGTTTGCAAATGATGAGTAAAATGGAGTCTCTCGCGGGGCAGTGGTGGCGCACGCCTGTAATCCCAGCACTCAAGAGGCAGAAGCAGGTGGATCTCTGTGAGTTCCAGGCCAGCCTGGTCTACAGAGCTACAGAGAGACCCTGTCTTGGGAAAAAAAAAAAAAATGGAGTCTCTCGCGGGGCAGTGGTGGCGCACGCCTGTAATCCCAGCACTCAGGAGGGAGAAGCAGGTGGATCTCTGTGAGTTCGAGGCCAGCCTGGTCTACAGAGCTAGTCCAGGACAGTCTCTAAAGCTACAGAGAGACCCTGTCTCAGGAAAAAAAAAAAAATAGAGTCTCTCAAGGAGGACTTACTCTTTGGAGAATTCAGATTGTGACCTTACTGGGGACTTTTGGTTGCGTGTGATACCGCCCCAAGTCGGCCTAAGCAAGGAAGGAATATGCCAGCTCACATAATTGAATATATTAGAGATGTATCTCTTTACGGCTTCAGGCATGGCTGGATCAGGGTCTCTGATGACAGCGAGTCTTAGCCCCTCTTCTTCTCAGCATCCTAGCTATTTTCTCTGCGCCAATTTGATTTTCAGGCAGGGTCTTCCTGCATGATGCTCCTGGAAGTTCTGAAAGCCAGGGACACCTCCCTACAAAGGAAGCTCCTTTCCCCACACAGTTAAGAAGTCCCAGGACCAATGGCTGTGGCCAGAGCAATGGCACTGTGACCCACGCCTGGAGACAAGTGGACTGCGTCAGCAAGGAGGACTTGTCCTCCAAGGAAAACCAGAGTTCTCTTGGCAGCTGGAGGGAAATGTTAGCTAGGCACAAACAACAGATCCTGCATCCAGTCTACCTCTTTGAAAGAAGGAACAATCAGGAATAAAGGGAGTCCCAAATGTCCTGGCAGAGGCTTGAGGACCTGTCCCCGACCTGCTGATGCTAGCCTGGAAATAGAAGGAGCTAATCAAAGCTGCCAAAGAGCTCAGGGTTGTTTGAAGTTTTTTGTTGGTGTTTGCTTGTTTATTCCTACGTAACTACGATCTTAAGACCTCTAGAAGGGAAAGTGTCCAGCTGAAGTCCATAGGAAAAGCAAACAAGAGGAAAAGACGGGGTGCTGGGCACCTGACCGAGCAGGTATTGGGAGCTAGCTCTTCCTTCTTAAACGCCTATGGAAATGTCTGAGATCTAAAACAAGACATATTTACTGGCTCTGAACTATGAGAAGAAAAACACAACACCGAAACTAATAGTGTTTAATTAAATGTCAGAATGCCTGCAGATATTCATATTTTATCAGCTTCATTGATGGCTATGCTTACTATTCCTCCCAGATCCCATTATGTTGGGAAGTAATTGTATCGGTAAATACTGCTCTCTTTGCAGGCTTCCGAAGTTCACGCAATGATCCCTGGGAAATCTTGGCATTGTGTGTGGATGCACCCATGGCCAGATCCAAGGCAAAAGGATTCCTGTAAACCTCTCAACCGGCATATAGAAAACAAGAGGTAGGTGCATGATGCTCAGAGGGGCTGTCTTTGAGAGCAAGGGTACCTGGGTCTCTCCAGATAGGCCTGCCCATGGGACACCTTGGAGCCAGGGAGGCCACAGCCACAGGCCACCATCCCCCAGCCCCTTCTTCCTAGCGCCTCCCAGACTGAGCCCCCACCCCTCTTTTAAGCCTCTATCATGGCAACTGCCCCAGGGCCAGACCCCTAATTACCAGCTTCTTCTAAGTGCCAGGGAGGGGAAAAAAAAAAGCCTTAGATAGCCCTGCCCCCTCCCCAGCACAGGCCCAGGAGGTCAGGCAGGTTCAAAAGGTGAAATAAATGAATCTTTACACATTCTAAGGGCCCAAACAACATTCTCTGTGGCATTAGGGCCTGAAACAGCAGCCAGCAAAAGCAGGTGTGCTGGGTGCCCTGTCAGCTAACGACACTGATAAGCCTGCCATGCCTGGTTCTGCTTCATTTCAAACAGACTGCTGCGGGAAGGGGGGGGGGGAGCCAGAGCAGAAATAATTGCCGGAGCTTCCAGTGAGCAGAGAGAGCCTGCAGGCGGAGATCAACCGGCCTGATTTCACCCTCTCCCCTTTCTTTCTATAACCTTAAATGTTCTACTCTGATAGAAGTCATCATGTCAGCTTTCTCCCCAGCCTCTCCAGCTGCCCAGTTTCCAATTGTATCAATGGGTAAGGCTTTGGGGGGGGGGCAGGGCAGGGATTTTCATCTTGATTTCTGGTTTCCAGGCTTTAAGGACGAAGCCGACTCCCCGGATCGGAGTCAAGCATCAGAATGTGCTGTCCTGAGCATGCGTCTAGAATCAGATCCCCTCCCCACTTCTCCGCCGCCCCCCCCCCAGCTGCCTAGGAACTAGGGAGGGCTTGGATAGGTCTTGCTTTTTTTTTTTTTTTCTCTCCCTCTCCCCAAGTGATGGATAATAAAACAAATCGAGAGCAAAATAATACTTGTTACAGGACTTCTGATGAAGTGGGTAAGGGGAGTCTGATTCTTGGCCCTCCCTAGGGGATGTTGCCAGCAGGCTTTAAGCTCTTGAGTTTATTGACGACCTCAGGCCTTAGGAGCAGGGAAATCAGGTGTACAGGCCTCACATGGGCCCATCTGAACAAACACTTCTGGGCTTTGCGTTGCTTATTGTATGAGACATGGTCTCACCATACTGCCCAGGCTGGTCTTGAACTCACAATGCTCAGCCTCCAGAATGTCATGACCTTGCACTATGTAGAACAGAAACTTACCAAGCAAAGAATGGGAAGAGCTGGAAAACAGGTGTTGACTCTTTACACCCAAGCATTAATGGTAAAATGGAGCGCACATTAAATAGACACACATTCACTGTGGCCGTCAGCGGGGATGCAGGGATGTGAGGGAGATCATAAGTTGCTCTAAGGACTCGTAGTAGTTGCTCAAGAGAGTATGGTAGCAAAATGTTTAGGCAAATCAAAGGAAGGCCTGTGGAACCAACACTAACTTCTATAGGTGTCTTCATGAATCACCCATCGAAGACTCTGAGGTAAATTACCCAGAGACTTGGTCATGTTAAAAAAAAAAAAAGTAGATGTACCATCATTCATCACACTCACCGGGGCCATCGGGCAGTAACCAAGAATGTGGACAACGATTTGGAGAAGAAGGTAAGCCAGACACAGGGCGAGACTCCTGGGCCAAAACCAGCTCTTTCTGGAGCAGTGGAAGCTGCCTGCAGTGAGACAGAGTCATGAGGAAGAGCATACAGCAGGGCTCAGGGCAAATGCAGGAAGAAATAAACCAGACACCTGCACCACCTCGGACATCAGAGGGGTGGAGAGCAGTGAGGAGCACGAGACCCCATCTAGAAATTTCTCCAGGAAAGATGGCAACGGTGGCAGAGGGGTCTCTCAGTCCTTCCTTAATCCCTTCCCATGAATGTAAGTGTGCATCAGCAGAGAGGGAGGGAGGGAGGGAAGGAGGGAGAGGGGGGAGGGAGGGAGAGGGAGGG